ATGGCAATCCCTACTCCTTGCATTAACATCAATCGGTGCGCATCTCCATAGCCCATTGATTAGCCTCGTTGATGTGAGACTTTCTCCTCTTTTGTCTTCTCCACATAACCCCCCTCATTATATTCTATTCCACCTATAGTGCTATGTCCATGGCTCGCGCTCATATATTGCGTGAAAGTTTATAGGTTTGAGATTACTAAAGTATGAAACAATTGCTTGGCTTGTCATCGGGGTTGTGCATGATGAGAGGATTCTTGTGTGACGAAAATGAAACATGACTAAACCATATGATTTTGTAGGGATGAACTTTCTTTGGCCATGTTATTTTGAGAAGACATAATTGCTTTGTTAGTATGCTTGAAGTATTATTATTTTTATGTCAATATGAACTTTTGTCTTGAATCTTTCGGATCTGAATATTCATACCACAATTAAGAAGAATTACATTAAAATTATGCCAAGTAGCACTCCGCATCAAAAATTCTGTTTTTATCATTTACCTACTCGAGGACGAGCAGGAATTAAGCTTGGGGATGCTTGATACGTCTCCTACGTATCTATAACTTTTTAATTGCTCCATGCTATATTATCTACTGTTTTGGACATTATTGGGCTTTATTATCCACTTTTATATTATTTTTGGGACTAACCTGTTAACTGGAGGCCCAGCCCAGAATTGTTGTTTTTTGCCTATTTTAGGGTTTCGAAGAAAAGGAATATCAAACGGAGTCCAAACGGAATGAAACCTTCGGGAATGTGATTTTCTCAACAGATAAGACCCGGGAGACTTGGACCCTACGTCAAGGCATGTAACAGGAGGCCACGAGGTAGGGGGCACGCCCTACCCTACCAGGCGTGCCCCCCACCCTCGTGGGCCCCCTGTTGCTCCACCGATGTACTCCTTCCTCCTATATATATATCCATGTACCCCCAAACGATCAGAACAGGAGCCAAAACCCTAATTCCACCGCCGTAACTTTCTGTATCCATGAGATCCCGTCTTGGGGCCTGTTTCGGAGCTCCGCCGGAGGGGGCATCGATCACGGAGGGCTTCTACATCAACACCATAGCCCCTCCGATGAAGTGTGGGTAGTTCACCTCAGACCTACGGGTCCATAGTTAGTAGCTAGATGGCTTCTTCTCTCTTTTTGGATCTCAATACAATGTTCTCCCCCTCTCTTGTGGAGATCTATTCGATGTAATCTTCTTTTTGCGGTGTGTTTGTTGAGACCGATGAATTGTGGGTTTATGATCAAGTCTATCTATGAACAATATTTGATTCTTCTCTGAATTCTTTTATGTATGATTGGTTATCTTTGCAAGTCTCTTCGAATTATCAGTTTGGTTCGGCCTACTAGATTGATCTTTCTTGCAATGGGAGAAGTGCTTAGCTTTGGGTTCAATCTTGCGGTGTCCTTTTTCGGTGACAGTAAGGGCAGCAAGGCACGTATTGTATTGTTGCCATGGAGGATAACAAGATGGGTTTTCCTTCATATTGCATGAGTCTATCCCTCTACATCATGCCATCTTGCTTAAGGCGTTACTCTGTTTTTAACTTAATACTCTAGATACATGCTGGATAGCGGTCGATGAGTGGAGTAATAGTAGTAGATGCAGGCAGGAGTCAGTCTACTTGTCTCGGACGTGATGCCTTTATACATGATCATACCTAGATATTCTCATAACTATGCTCAATTCTGTCAATTGCTCAACAGTAATTTTTTCACCCACTGTAGAATTCTTATGCTCTTGAGAGAAGCCACTAGTGAAACCTATGGCCCCCGGGTCTATCTTTATCATATTGATCTCCTACTACTTAGTTATTTTCTTTTCTATTTACCTTGCGTTTATTTTACTTTGCATCTTTATCATAAAAATACCAAAAATATTATCTTATCATAACTATCAGATCTCACTCTCGTAAGTGGCCCTATAGGGATTGACAACCCCTATTTGCGTTGGTTGCGAGGATTTATTTGTTTTGTGCAAGTGCGAGGGACTCGCGCGTAGCCTCCTACTGGATTGATACCTTGGTTCTCAAAAACTGAGGGAAATACTTACGCTACTTTGCTGCATCATCCCTTCGTCTTCGGGGAAAACCAACGCAGTGCTCAAGAGGTAGCACGCTCCAGTACCGCTCTACTACCGCCTCGATTTTGGGTCCTGCTCTTTTCGTGTCGGGTTTAGCAGTAGTTGCACGGCAGTAAGGCACGATAGTTCCGCCTAAGCGGTAGTACCGCTCCGGTCGGGCGGTAATACCGCTACTACATCACTGCCGTCATACTCTGCTCTGCCCTGCCTCTTTTGGTCCCGTGTTCTGCTCCTCCAGCGGTAGTACCGCTGGGGTGAACGGTAGTACCGCATTGCTCTTATGCGGTACTACCGCCCCAAGGTAGTATCGCTCGTGTGCGGGCTGAGCACATAACGGTTGGATTTTCCCTCTCCTATAAAAGGGGGCCTTCTTCCCCAATGAACCTTATCCTTTGAGCTCGTGTTCTTCCCCCATTGTTGACCTTCTTCGAGCTTGCTAACTCTCAATCCCTCCATGGATTCTTACTAGTTTTGGGGGGAAAGGAGAGAGGAGATCTAGATCCACATTTCCACCAATCACTTTCTCCTCTATGTGAGGGGAACCCCTTGGATCTAGATCTTGGAGTTCTTGGTGTTCTCCTTCTTGTTCTTCCTTTCATTTTCCTCTCTAGCATTAGTTGCTTTGGTGGGATTTGGGGGAGAACGACTTGGGCACTCCGTGTGCCCTTGCCATTGCATTTGGTGCATCGATTTGAGTTCTCCACGGTGTTACGTGGAAGTTACAAGTTGAGAAGCTTATTACTCTTGGGTGCTTGGTACCCTTGAGCTTGTTCCTCTTGGGTGCTTGGGCTCCCTAGACGGTTGGTGGTGTTCGGAGCTCAATCATTATGGTGCAAAGCTCCAAGCAAGCGCTGGGGTCTCCAATTAGGTTGTGGAGATAGCCCCGAGCAATTTGACGGGTACCGGTGACCGTCCCCAAGGGTTGCCAAAGTGTACGGGTTCGGTGACCGCCCCCAAGGGTTGCCATTTGTACGGGTTCGGTGACCGCCCTCAAGGGTCCCTTAGTGGAATCACGACATCTTGCATTATGCAAGGGCGTGAGGAGATTACGGTGGCCCTAGTGGCTTCTTGGGGAGCATTGTGCCTCCACACCGCTTTAAACGGAGATTAGCATCCGCAAGGGTGTGAACTTCAGGATACCTCGTCGTCTCCGCGTGCCTCGATTATCTCTTACCCGAGCCCTTTACTTATGCACTTTACTTTGTGATAGCCATATTGTTTCTTGTCATATCTCTTGCTATCACTTAGTTGTTTATCTTGTTTACCATAAGTTGTTGGTGCACATAGGTGAGCCTAGTTGTTGTAGGTTTTGTACTTGTCAAATTAATCGCTAGGTTTATTCCGCATTTGTTCAAGCCTAAACCGTAATTATTTTAAAGCGCATATTCAACCCCCCCCTCCTCTAGGCGACATCCACGATCTTTCAGGCAGGCCAGGACCCAATTGCTATTGGGGTTAGTTAGGCTTAATTTTCATCTCCAAAAAAGTTAGGCTTAATTTTAGTTTTTAGAATTTGGCGTAGGTGATTTTTTAAACTTATATTAGAGCAACACTAAGGACCCGGAACTCCTAAGGCCGGTCACAATGAAAGTATCATGCATGCTAGGTAGACATTTTGCTGAGTCACACAATCAAATGAGGAAAGACATGACTAAAGTATCATGATATGATACAAACCGTGTTATATTAAGGCCCTGTTCGGAAGTACTCCGCTCCACAGCTCCACTCCCAGAGCAGGTGAAGTCATAGTTGAAATTCGCGGAGCCCCTGTTTACCAGCTCCGCAGCTCTCATAATTTCTAGGAGATGGGGGATTCCGAACAGCCCCTAAATAATGTACTGGTATGTGTTATTCATGGCAATAAATAAGGTCATTACGGTATCAAACTAGAATACTATGCACTATGAAAGTAGTATCACACAATACTATGCAATATATGATAATTCCCGTTGTGACTAGTGTAAGAGCACCTCCAGCGGCTTTTCAAAAATCTTGTCCTATAAATGCTTATCAAGGCTCTCCCAATAAATTTATTGGATTTCACAGATGTGTTGTTGTAACAGATCCCCGATACAACTTCCCCTATATCTGGTTTTTTCTCTATTTCTTCATACGACTTTGAACACTATAATACATAATTTTCACATCATATAAAATCAAAAATTATCATATACCACTTTGAACAACTGGACTTCAATTCAAATCCATACTTCCAAGATCAAAATTCCAAGACAATTCAAGATCAAACACATGGCATATGGTTCAAATAAAGCTTAGAAATCAAACATAAAGCATCACTCTGTGAAAGTGAGGAAACTGGTTGTACTCCCTCAATTCGGAAATAACTGGAATGGTTTTAGTTCAAACAGAGGTAATAGTTGGCACTGCAACTTCATTTGTGTCAAACTTTCATATTGAAGTGAGGAAACTGGCTGTAGCTGTCTCTTTTACCAGCCCTTGGTTAGGTTTCTGGGGTTCTTTTTGCTGCAGAAAATGGATTTATAGGGAGTCTATGTAGGAAGAAAGAAAGTGCCCAATTGTCATTTATAACAGTAGTTCATCCTGCATCAAGACACATCAACTACAAAGCAGAACCCTAGTCCATGGTGTACTGTTTGGATATCATCTCCGCTCTCCAGCTGCCGCCTGCTGCTGTTTCACAGAAGTTTAAGGGCTCAAACATTATGATGCCAGTATAGCTCGCCTCAAGAGTTGCTGTAAAAACATCTTTCAGAAAAAGGAGACGTCAACATATCTCCCCTCTAATAATATTGTGCGAACTTGAGAAAAAAGTTATCAGTGCAACCAGGCACAGAAGTTGGAGGCGTCCCCGAAAAGTTTAATGCTCCCATTTGTAAGATAGCAACACACTACAACACCAACACGAAACCACTGCCTATTCTTTACTACTAATATCTCATCTGCTTAGCTCTTTCTTCCTCCTCTTCAATCTTTTTTCTGCGTAAGGCTTCTTCTCTCTGCTTTTGGATCCGTTCCAGCTCCAAATATCGCTCCATCTCTTTCTGATGCTGCTCCTGAGCTTCTCTCCTTTGAGATTCCTCTACTTTCCTCCGGTTCTCCTCGATCATCCTATCCAACTCCTCCCTCTCCCTCCTTTCTTGCTCCTGCAAAATTTTGAAGATGCAAAATTAGATCTGGGAAAGGTTCTATGAAAACAAGCAAATAAGAAATCTTGTGTATCTGTTTGGTTTCATTGACGGTCAAAAGCAGTTTAGAGAATAGCGCTACTTATCAGTTCTGGTGGGATGAATGCACACATATACATGCATATTTGCATACATCTATTGGCAGGCACCAATAGCATCGAAGCTCATGATGAAGCTAAATCAGTCAAAACCTAAGTATTATTATCTGGTTAAAGAGCTAGGATAATATATCGGAAACTGATTTCATCCTTCCGTTCTTTCAAAAAATTCACTAGCTCCACCAATCCACAAATCTCAAGATATTTTCTTAAATAATGACTAGTACTCCCTCTGTAAAGAAATATAAGAGCATTTAGATCACCAAAGTAGTGATCTAAACGCTCTTATATTTCTTTACGGAGGGAGTACCAATAAGGGAGGCATGGCATGCCTAATACTTACTACTTTCTGCCTGGCTTCATGGAGAGCTGCTGCCTTCTCTTTTTGTAGCTGAGCATCAACCTCATCAAATAACTTTTTGATACCTTCCTCAACTCGGCGTTTTATTTCATCTTTTACTTCCTCAGAGTTCAGACGCTCCTCAACATTTTTCCTAACAGCTTCTTCAACTCTCCTAGCAAGCTCCTCTTCCAACAACTTAAGTTCAGCTTCCTTTTGGCGTCTGCGGTGAAAAATGTTAAGTTATAAAGGATTGATTGGCTTTTGGCCATCAAAATTATTATGCTACTACAAGTGAAGGAGTCGATGTAACATTAATGAGCAAAAGGATCCCTAATCGAAACAAGTGAGCAGAGCATAGAAAAGATCAAAATGAAGCTAAGACACATATGCACTGCACAAACAAAATAATAAGTAAAACTGTAACAATAGCTTTGTCCAGAAAAGCCAAAGTACAACTTGTAAATGTGGGGTGCACACAGATAATGAGAGAGTTAGTTCATAAAATGCTGATTTCAAAACGAAATTGGGGAGGAACAAACACCAGCGTGATCCATTAAATAAACAGAAGCAAATGTTTAATTATGCATTGTTATCCCTCAACTTTGTTGTTTCTGGGAACACCTGCAGGAACAATCTACAGTTATACTATAACGGAAGAACATGACAGAGGCGTATACAGAGAAGTAGGAGATTTGGAGAACAGTCCTGGTCTTTTGGAGATGGCACAATTTGTATTTATAAGAACAAAAAACTTCAGATTAAAAGTTGAGATGCCAGTATAAAATAGAAGGAATGGCAAAAGATCCGTTATTTTTCCTTGATGGATTGAGGATTAACATATAGAAAATTAAATACTTTTGAACGTGACACATTTTATTGATATTAGTTCACAGCTCCTGAGTGGACTTGCATGCAAGTTGGTCATCTTTTGGTTGTTTGAACAAATCCATTTCAAACCAACCACACTAGTACAAACAAGATAGAGAAGATTTGTAGAAGACCACAGTTCAAGCACAGGCAAACTGTCAATATGTGAGTTGAAGATTCTCTACAATAAAATACAAGAGCGACCAAGCAGATGGCCATGCAAAACTAGCAATATGTATGTGTAGAAGAATGAAAAGGAGTTTACCTTTTCTTTTCTTCTTCCTTCCTTTGTTTTTCTATTAAACTGTTCTGTTCAGATCCATGACTTGGGCTGGAGTTATTTACAAGAGAACTTGAGCTGCTCCGACTTTTCCGTCTTCTATGTCTCCTCGGTGATGGAGGGCTTCTACGCCTCCTAGGAATCGGGGACTGGCTCCTGTCCCATCTAGGAGAAGGAGACGGACTTTTTCTCCTAACAAAGGATAAAAGAACTTACATAGGAACTGAAAAATATAACAACGAAAATGCTCCAATATTGATAGTTGTTGGTGTAGCTCAGATGCAAAGTTGCAAACCATCAACGGGGCACAAAAAAGATGACATGTCAGCATGCTAACACACATACCAAAAAAAAACAAGAGCATTCAAACACAGCAATTCAACTTTATCAGATTTTCTTTGCTTGACTTACCCATGACTGATACAAGTCCTAGATATGGAGTTCAGGTTTCTTGACGGAGTTCACTTAAAAAAAAATATCGCATATGAGGCATACTTGTACAAATCGTCCCATCAAATTCCATTCTAAAACGGGCGTGACAACAAATCTTGTATACTCAGAAGTGCAGCCAAACTGGAAAATAAGATGCCCACTTATAATGTTCTATGCCTACATAACCTCCTTCACTTATATGAGATCGATTGCCAATATCAGAAACGAAATATTATCTGTAAACTCATGACAATATACAATAGACTGTGAAAAGAGCATTCTTACAGCTTCCTCATGTTTAATAATATCACGTAGCAGCGTCCAATCCGTCCATGAACATCTGAGATGACATGACACCCTAATCAGGTTGTATTGGCTTGAAATGCATCTTCTATTTCAGGTAACTACCACATAGTCACACTATGTCCATTCTTTGATTAATTTGTTTGCCCCATTCACAACATTCCAAAAAAGAAACAATCCCATATCTCATCAATCTTGTAGGCACCAGCCAATCTGTAACCTGAGCTAAATGAATGCAGACAGTTGCGGACCTAAGACATCACCAAAACGCGCAAGGATAGTCGCCTCCCCGACACATGATTTGAAAATCTTGAAGCGCTGTAACTCCGCGTAGTGCGCCAATTGTCAAACATCTCACTCCGATGAAGCACGCCTCCGCCACAGTGCAAGCAGTTTGGTAGTACTAGTAACACGGGCTAACTGGCTAAGGTGCCGAAGCACTAAGTCGAGCAACCTCGAGCTGTGTAAATCTTGAGGGACCAAACCAATTTCACGATAGGAGGGGAGCAGAGACACGGGGGGCGGGAGGTCGGGGCGTACCGGGAGGAGTAAGGGGAGCGGCTGCGATCTCGCCGGATCCGCCTGCTGCCATACCGCGGCGACGGGGAGCGCCGCCTGCTGCCGTACCGCGGCGACGGGGAGCGCCGCCGACGGTGGGATGGCGGCGAACGAGACACCACGCGCGGCATGCCTCTCCGTGGGCCCTCCGCGCGGGGAGGGATAGATAGGAGCAGGATGCAGATGCGGCGGCGCGGCGACTCGGCGAGGGGAACGAACGGCGGAAAGCCGATGCGAGGGATTGTTTCGATACAGAAGGTGAGGGCGAGGACCCAATTGTTAAGGGGGTATTTGAGATTTTTGTGTTTTTGGTTTATATATATACCATTCAATTATGCATCAATATATACACTTGAAAACAAGAGGGAATAACATAGTCAAAAGCACAAAATAGGTACTCGCTCTGTGTGATCTAAACACTCTTATATTTCTATAGGAAGGAAGTACTATTTAAGAATTTCGCTACAAATTAAACGTTGATTTTTTTATCATGGCTAATTAAACGTCTATGTGTCGCGAGGATGACAATTTTCATTGGAGCATGCTATGAGTCGGTCGGCAGATCTTTTTAAAAGATAAAAATATCCGCCGTCTCGACGGCCATTAGATCAATGGGTCAACGATGTTTTCACAATTGCAAAGGTGGTGTTCAGAACCCTTTTGCGACATAGGCCTTACTGTATAAATTTTCGCAACAAAGATTGTGTTGCAATTTTCTTATCTTTGTTTTTTTGGCAACATGAGTGTTGTTGCGGAAGGACTTTTGCAACAAGAATAATGTTGCAGATATTGTTCCTCGTGAGGATTGGAATTAGGGATGAAAGGTTGTGTTGCAGGTTTTTTATGTCTTTTTCTTTTGCAACATGGATGTTATTGAGGAGGGACGTTTGCAACATAATTATTTTCTCATGGGGATTGGGATTGGGATTGAGGACAAAGGCGGTGACGAATGGATAAGGCTACTCATCCCACGAAATGTTTCTAGATAGGTACCACGTGTAACCCTTTGAGATAACTTTTTATCCAGTTGTTACTCGCCCGGTGCGCGAGTGATCAGCCGACCGAACCGAATTGTTTCTCATTTTCTTTCACAAGCATGGCACTTCCTTGCCATGTTCAATTTTTTGGTTGAAATTGCCACGCTTGGTAAAGAAAATTGGCATCCTCACGACAATATAAATTTTCATAAAAATATTCGATTTCCCATGCTTAAATATTTGACATCGGATTTTTAGCATTTTTTGCTTTTAAAAACTTATATATAAGCTAAACTCCAAAAGCCAAAATTAAGCCTAACCAAACAACATGTAATGCAGGTGATTTACATTAAATAATTAAATGCATTGGAGGTCCTAATTACTTTATGTAGATATGAAGTTAGTCCTAGTTTTTTTAAATGCACATATGTCCTATATCTTTCACATTAGGAAATTTAGCTAGTTACTTGCGCAATCGCCTCAATTGTGACAATTTGTGTGATGATCTTATTTGTTATGTGGGAAAAGAAGAAATGAAAAAAAATCACAAATGATCAAATGGGTAGTCATGGACAGGAGGAAGTGAATGTACTAGAAGGTAATGTTTAGTTACTTAAGTATTTTCATTTGACTATACTATTTTGTATTACTTAAAAGTTTAATTATGCATTTTATCTTGTAGGTTATTGAATCTTGTTGTTTGATGATGTATTTGGAATTTGGAAATGCAAGACATCAGCTTCAAGTTTTCCTTTTTTTCATCATCATGTCTTCCTTTTTTTCATCATTATAGTAAGCAATCTGACTGTACTGCTTGGTGTATATACATTGTCTCCTATTATATCGGATAATATGTGTAGAAGCTATGAATACTTCCTTTGATCCATATTAATTGTCGCTCCCTTAGTACAACTTTAGAGTGAACGGTAATTAATATGAATCGGAAGGAATATTATTTAAGTAGTACGTTGTTGCTTGAAAATTTGACGCCATATCAAAGTGGTGCATCGAGGATCATCCTCTTTCTGGAGACACTCATGGCCAACTTGGTGGGAAGAAAACCATCAAGATTATGATACTTATAGTTTAACATGTCAGCGTCTTCTCCGCCGCGGTCTTCATCCCCATTAATATATGGATCAATTGACAACGCTGTCTTAGTATTCATATCAGTGGTAACCACTGAAAGCTTGTGAATGTCATCATTCACGGGCTCAGAGAAGACTTTCGGTGGGAGCTCTTCTCTTTCTTATTCAGTCATTTTTTTTATAAAGAGAGCATCCTTTCCAATTTTCATAAGCAGAAACCACAATGTCTTTTACAACAACTAAGGAACTTAAGGGGAAACACGGCAATTCATGATCTAATGAGAGCAGAATGAGCTACCCCCAATCGTCCCAAAAGACCACAGAAGGCTGTATCGGATATGACCATCCGATAACCTGCAAAAGCTGAGAGACTCCGGATCCATCATCCTAGGAGCTTACAAGCTAGGTCTCCAGGAGATGTTTAAAATGAAGTTTCTAGCCATTGGAATTATTCAGTAATCATCAGTTTGACGACTTACATCAGAATTGCAGCTGTTTATTCTCTATACAAAACTAAATAATAAAGAGAAGAGCTCTACCCCTACATCTTGTGTCTCTGTCTACTTTTTACCTCTACTTTCATGTTGCGCTCAACAATAATCTCAACAAAAACTTTGTACTCCTCTCATAGAAGGACATTGTCACTAAATGTAGACCATCCACAATAATCTCAACAAAAACTTTGTGGTAGGGACATTGCATGGACACCTCTCATAGAAGGTTATTGCCACTAAATGTAGACCATCTACAAGTGATAATCTCTGATGTCATTTACAAAAGCCATCAGACGGAGCGGCAAACCGTGAGAGACGAGGTTTTTACCCATCCATGGCAAGCAAGTGTGTTCCATTCGCCATTCGTCAAGAATAATAAAAGTGGCCAGCTTTGCTAAATAAGTAGACATTTATTAATTTTAAAAAAATAGAAGTACATCATCATGATAACATGGAAACACCAAAACCGCAACGACTCAACAGTCAACACCAGGCGACAGTGAAAACCTATCAACCTCAAAGAAGTAAACTAAACAAGCATCTCTCACTCTCAACCGTGCGATACGCAGACATATAGCTTCATTGTTTCAGTCGGTGCTGCTGAAGCTGAGGAGCTTCCACGTCCTGGACTCGGACCCCGGGATGCCCCAGACGATGGACACATACCTGCTGTAGACCCCGGCGCCGTTCTTTGCCGTGAGCACCATCCAGTACTCGTAGCCCTCGCCGGACGCCACGGACCAGCACTGTGACGTGCTCGCGTAGTACATGGTGAGCCCGTGGGAGAGCTTGTACACGGTCACCGAGAACGTGCCCACGCTCCTTATGAAGTCGCTGCTCGCGTCCTCCTGGTACGTGTACTTGGCCGGCCGCGTCGCGACCGCCGCCACTGTCGCTCCGGGCAGCAGCACCGCCGCGGTGACCACGACGGCGAGAGCTAACGCAGCAACAACGGCCGATTGCTTCATGATCGTCGATGGATGGCCAAGTAATTAACTAGCTGGGCTAGGGCTGCTCGATCGCTCTGTGCTAGCTATACTTAACTAGCTAGAAACCCTGCTTGTTAATGACTAACTCACTGTGAGGGATGCAAAGGCACGGGATACCTTCACTATATATAGCCTGCAGCTGAGGTGCCATCTAGGGTTCGTACGTCGAAACACACAGTCACCACAGAGGGCAAGCTAGCCATTAAGCTGGACCTTGAGAGATTAATCTATGAGCGAGATCAATTCAGTGCCAGGTCGATTAATTGGAGTGGAAACCATGCTACTTAGGTAGTGCACCGACGCGTGCCCATGCATGCATGCATGGGTGCTGGTGATCGAGGTCGAGGTTGGGGAAGTACGCGCGGGCGTGGAGATTGGTGAGGCCACAACTGTGAAACCCTTGTTTAATCACCTGGTTCGCGTGGTTCGTTGGTTTTGCTACAAGGGGAGGCCTACACAGGTAGCCGAATAACGAGGCCCCGGGGCGCGCATACTGAAGCAGCGAGCACCGCTGGTCAACTACGTCGGTGGCGCCGCGCCGGAGGAGCGATCTCCAGCTGGCCAGCTAGCTTTCGGCCATGTCGGCAAGGCCGGCCGGACGCCGGAACGTTCATTTGTGTATTGGCGCGAATATTTTGATGATGTCCGCGAGGTGTCAATCATCAAAAGTAGATCTATTGGACATAAAATCTGAAGTTTCCTCCTTATCACCGACGCACAACAGGCTAAAATCGAAATCACTAATTGAGGAGTACTCGTTGCAAAGATCACTCCAACTCCCGTGGTTGCAACAAATGGCGCACATACAACGCGTTACTTGTCGCAACCTGAGAGTTTTCCCTTTTTTCGTAGATCCGTTTATTCAAAACGTTTTATCTCTCAAACCTTGCTTCCAAATCTCGAACTGCTTTCACCGTGAATTCATCGCGTCGAGATTTTCAAAATTAGATCCCATGTTGATAGGTTTTCACAAACTTTTTTTTTCATGAAATAGCCCGGGCGAAAAAACCGAACCGGGAGCACTGGTTTTTTCCCTTTCCGAAAAAGGCACAGCCGTGACTCTCGCTAAAGCACAACCTTACTTCTCGCGGAAGCAAAACCGTGACTCTCGTGAAAAAAAATAGAAAATGTGTTTTTCTTTTCGTTTCCGAGAGGCACGGCCATGACTCTCGCTAAAGCACAACCGTGTCCCTCGCGGAAGCAAAACCGTGACTCTCGCGAAAGGAAAAAAACATAATTTTTTTCCGTTTCCGATAGGCACGGCCGTGACTCTTGCGAAAGCACACCCATGCCTCTCGCGAAAGCAAAACCGTGACTCTCGCGAAAGGAAAAAAATGGAAAACGCGTTTTCTTGTTTCCGAGAGGCATGTCCATGATTCTC